ATTCTACCATATAATAATAATAAAAACTGGGATGTTACATGATGATTGTTAGAGCCAAGTTTAATGGAAAGAATGTATGTAGTGGTGAGTTCTACAAACGCAATGGCAATTAGGAAAGTCATAGGTGGATATAGAAAAAGTTGTAAAGCTATAGGCTAATCTGATACCATATAGAGAATAAAATAAAATAAAATATTCTTATTTGATATATATATATATATAATATATTATATATATATATATATATATAAGATGACCATTATAGCAATTGTTGGATCGAGCACTTACCACTAGGCCAAAAGCTATAGCTAATAGTCAGGGCGCAACTCTTTTTACTTAAGAGCGCAGCAGCCCAAGCGCCATGATTCGACAGTGACTTGGCCCACCTAACCTCCGCCACGGGACAATTGATGCAACTCGCAACAACAATGTTCAAATTTCGTTGAGTTGCTTTGTTTGTCTATTCTTTAAAGGGTACTATAGATGCATTTAATGCAAGCATTAAATGCTGATCAAAGATACGTGTGTTCCTTGTCTGATCTTGGGCAGCTATTTTGAGTGTGGCAGTATTAGTACAATGATATATATATATATATATATATATATATAAATATATACACACACATGAATAAAGGATAAAATATCCAAAAAAATATGGATAAATATCCAAAAGATATAAGATATTAATTATAATTATTTGAATAATTTGATCACAATATCTTAACAAATTACAATAATACAAGTAAGATATTTCACCCCCAAACTAATTGAACTTCATAAAAAAAAGACTAATTTATGTTTTTGGTCATTCATCTTATTTTTTATATTCATTTTGGTCATTTATCTTCTCAAATATTCATTATGGTCCTTTATCTCTTAAACTTGGGCCAATTTGGTCCTTTTGAAACAGTGATTGTTTTCGATTTTGAGACATGATGTGTGACACCCTCTACCCCGCATATCATAACACAATAATAAAATTTTAATAATAGAACATTTTATAATATAAAAAAAATCCAACGTATTCAGATAGAGAGTACCACATGCATAACTTAACAAAATCAACAAAATTTAAAAAAAATAAAAAATAAAAGTAAAGTCTCCAAAAATAATTTAATAAGTGAACATCCTAGTCTAATCCTATCTACGCCCTGATTTCACATGTCCTATCAGAGCAAAGCCAGACTCTGAAGCCTAAGCTTCATCACCTACATTTCCAGCCTCATGCTGATAATCACCTGTACAACAATCAAAGGAGAACAACAAAAAGAAAAGGGAGTGAGAAACATCTCACTCTAGCTCACAGTGTAAAAATACACACCGGATAGCCAAACACAAACAAGACAGATATAACATAGATATGTTAATAATAAAATTTCATCTCACTCAATATATATATATATATAATATATTATATATATATATATATATATAAGATGACCATTATAGCAATTGTTGGATCGAGCACTTACCACTAGGCCAAAAGCTATAGCTAATAGTCAGGGCGCAACTCTTTTTACTTAAGAGCGCAGCAGCCCAAGCGCCATGATTCGACAGTGACTTGGCCCACCTAACCTCCGCCACGGGACAATTGATGCAACTCGCAACAACAATGTTCAAATTTCGTTGAGTTGCTTTGTTTGTCTATTCTTTAAAGGGTACTATAGATGCATTTAATGCAAGCATTAAATGCTGATCAAAGATACGTGTGTTCCTTGTCTGATCTTGGGCAGCTATTTACACAAACAAGACAGATATAGCATAGATATGTTAATAACAATATTTCATCTCACTCATCCAAGACATAAAAATATCAATTTATTATATAACATTTAAAATGCACATGTATGGACACGGACTACATATTATCATGCATGTGGCGCCAGTAAAACATCACATGGCATATTGCCGCTAGCAATATACGAAGAGTAGTCTAGGAGTACATGCCGGGTCACACCCTCTGCGCACTCTTACTAGAAGAATATACTACCAGAGTCTCGTCGGGATAGCTAAGCCGCGCAAGATACATCCCATGCACACAATGGGCGAGACTGGGACTTCCAAACCGAGCTATCCCCAAGGACTAATCCCAAAGCTTTTACACTAGGGGGCCTTCTATGGCAGTGTATTCCATATCGTACCCTTAAAACACTTATGCAAATGATGCATGTCATTCACGACTCTATGCATTTTCATATCACATTATCTTTTCTCATGGTCATTTCACATCATATTTCATTATCACATCTCATATCTCATGTTCAATCACATTTTACATTATCTCATCATATTCACAAAGCCTCCACAGAGCACTTTAATTTATATCAAAACTCATTTATTTATAAAAGTAAATACAGATTTTTAAATCTCATCAAACAAGGAATATAACAGAACAATCAGAAATCAAAACAGAAAATATTCATATTTTACCTATTTCTCACAGGGTTTCCGTAGGAACCCATAGAGCACTCTAAATCATATCAAAACATATTTATTTTCAAAATTAACCACATACTTACACATTACATTCAACAAGGAATAAATCAAAACAATCAGAAAGCAAAACAGAAAATATTCATATTTTGCCTATTTCCCATAGGGTTTCCTATAGGAACCCATAGAACACTCTAAATAATATAATTAATTGCATATAAGAAAATAATAAGTAAAACAGATACGATTGGGAGAAACCCCTCATACATGAGCATACAAAAAAATACAGCAAACACGGGATTGGGGGCCAATCCCACTACCCAGCATATATTCCCACACCCAGAGCAAGATTTCTCACTCCCCCCTTACCTCAATAAGTAGGAGCTGAATCTTGTTGGTCGCCCCCTCTAGGTTCCCCTTCGTCTTCAGAGAGAAAGGAGGAAAAATATTAGAAAATGAAGAAGTGAATTCTAAAGAATGCAAAACGCTCTATTTATAGGCACCAGGCCGTGGCCAGAACGGCCTGTTCCGAAACTGGAACGGCCCGTTCTGGATTCCTTCGTCACCTCAAAAATATGCCACTGGAACGGCCCGTTCTGGACTTATTAATGCTATGTAAAAAATATAACCGAAACGGCCCGTTCTGGATTCTAAATTTTCTTATAAAATCGTGTACCGGAACGGCCCGTTCTTAAATCGGAACGGCCCGTTCTGGTTTCAAATTTTTCTCATAAAAACATGTCTTGGAACGGCCCGCTTCGATGCAAGGTTTATATGTCATTCTAGTAGTTTGGAACGGCCCGTTCCAATTTCGGAACGGCCTGTTCTGGGCTACTAAAATATAAAATATTTTTTTTGTAAATAATAATTATTAAAATATTTATATTCATTAAAAATATCTAAAATACTTTATAAAACTCATTTAATTGGTTAAAATAATCATAAGAAATTAATCTTCATATATAAAAATAATAACAGTTAATCATTATATTAGTAAAAATTTTCAGGATGTTACATGACGGCTTTGAATCATTTTTTGGATTGATTTAATACTTGAAATTCATCTTATTAAATTCACTTATATGAAAGCAATTGAATGCAACTAAAGTTCAAATAAAAAAAATATTATAGACATGGTAAAAATTGCATAAAAATAACTCCAAAACACTATTAAAAATTCAAAAACTATAATTTCATACTATTTTTTAATTGTATATGAGACATCTTTTACACGATTTTCATCATGTTATAATTCTTATGAATTCAAATGTCAATTGAATTTTATAATTCTTATATAATTGAATTTATTGTTACAAATTTTACGTTTCGAATTGGTAAAAAATTGATTTAATTTTTTTTTTTTGTTTTAAAAGAACCAAATTGATCCAAATATAAAAGATAAAGGATCAAAATGGATATTTTAATAAATAAAAGACTAAAATAAATCTAAAAAATAAGATAAGACAAAAATATAATTTAATAAAAAAAATTATATCCTCTGAAATATTCTCATCCAAAATCTAATGTTCTTCTAATTTTATTTTATTTTTTGTGTCCGTGACATTTCTCTAAAATGAATAACCGTACGTGTAATTAGAAAGAAAGCCGAAATGCATGCTGCCATTCATAATACAATACAACAACTGGGGATATGAAAAGGGAGTTACAGAACTCTCACATCAAAAAGCTGAGAAAAAGAAAAATGTGAAACCTGACCTCTCAATTTGTGTTGGCAGCATTGTACAGGTTGAAAATGTGCCAGCACAGTAAAAGAAATTCAGCTATACTCAAAAGAAAAAGAAGACACAATTCTCCTATGTTCTTCATAGCTCGCATGTTATATTGCTAGTTGTACCCTTCCTTTACATTGAAGTGAACACGTGGATATCATTTTCTCCAAATCAATGTTACCCATGTTACAAACCTTATTATATATATCGATCAACTGCAGCACAATGGGTCATGCTTTAGCGGCATCAAGAAATGCCTGCTTGAAAAAGAAAAATTAAACAAGATGGCAAACAACTTTGAACATTATGATGCAACTGTTTTTTCAGATATAAGATATTGTTGGGATTCAATTCAACTAGATACATTATTCAAACAAGAAAATGTCTATGATTTTTTTTTCATTCACACTTGCTGTTATATCTTAACAAAGGTGTTATGCAAGATTGAGAAAAACAAAGTAACACATAGAAGGAAGAAGATAGATGAAGAAGAGTTGTATATTGACTGTGAGAATTACATCAGATGATCACCAAATACACTCACAGGTTACATTTGCTAGTTTACTAATCTACCCGTATTAGTTACCAGACATCGCATATATATATATATATTGTATATTGACTGTGAGAATTACATCAGATGATCACCAAATACACTCACAGGTTACATTTGCTAGTTTACTAATCTACCCGTATTAGTTACCAGACATCGCATATATATATATATATATATATATATATATAAATCTATATATAATGTCATAATGGATTGAGAAAATATTTTGTGAGGACCAAAATATTTAAATATATATAATTTAAATTATTTGTAATATAATATATTAAAAAGGTATACTATTTAAAAGGACAAGAAAAAATTTGTAGGTTATGACTTCCCTCCTTATAAGTTCCACCATTAATAATGGACTAATTAACTGAAAATAGAAATGAAATTTAAACAAGCAAGGATTAACTTTCAGATTGAACAAAAAGCAAATAATTTTCATTCATATCTTGAAGATGCAACCATGCTTAATTATAGATTGGGGAACATCATACTCAGACATGCATAATGAATCAAAGACCCATTGTACAATTTAAATGTTCAATATCACAATTTAAGATGCCTTTTGTATAACTGATTCGGGAACTTTATTATGCATATATCATATACATGAGGACAATTCAGATACATTTTCTTTACAGAATCTTTAATTTCAGAATCACTTTCTAGTTTGCAGAATAACAATATTAACATGGTAAGGTACAAATCAGAGAACTGCTCCTTTAAGGCTTAAAACATTTAGTTCTGATTATGCCCAGAAATCACTCCCACCATTCCCTACCGCAAATTGTATGCCAATAATCTTTCCTGAATATAGTAACGCTAGTCAGTAATCTCACCTTTTGGTATTAGTGACAACATGAAGAAGCTACCAAAAAAACTGTTTCAATCATTCATCATTTCACAAATTATGGATTCAAGAACTAAAATACAAAGATTATTGTTAGAGTACTAGCCTTGAATGTAATTTTGCTCCCAAAACCAAACTTAGGCTTTCTGTCAGGCCTTAATATCTGAAAAGAGCACATAAGTGTCTCATCAACACTCATCATTGCTCCAGCATTATCAAACTCTCCACAGTAGTTAGGTGCAGAAAAGATAGTCACAAGTTGCCTATTGGCGAAAAATTCATATCCATCTTCAACAACCTACAAAAGGAAAAGAAAAGAAAAGAAAGAAAAAAAAGCTGGCTTATACTATCATGAACTAATTTTACAATTGCATACTCAAACTTTAGGATAAAACACCATTCAGGTCTTGAATGTATACATCGTTGACACTTTAGTTCTTGAAAGTAAGAAAAATTCAAATAAGTTCTCGTTACTTATTATCATTTTAGTCCCTAAATATATGTTAATAAGTCAAACATGTTTTTAAATTTTGAACTAAAATGAGTAACATTTTAAACTTTCATAAACTTTATTTTTAAAACTAAAGTGTTAGCGACATACACTTCAGGGACATGTACCGTGTTTTATCCCAACTTCATAAAAACTTTATGAGACCTGGTGTGCTCTACAAATCAAGTCAAGGTCATGCTTCCCCAGAAATTCTGTGACCACGCTAGCACCAAAAGTATATGAAACTCCACGTTCATTCTCTCCCCAACCCAGAATGTGTTTACTAGGATCAGACCACAAGAGATCACACAGTAGACCACTTTCAGGTACTTCAAATGGACGTGGCAAACTACGTATCTGACTTAGACTGTGCAATTCAGGAGAGAGTCCACCATGCATGCAGAATATTTTTTCATCAATGATAGCTGCCACAGGCAAACAGTTGAAACAATCTGCAAACATTTTCCATAGCCTCACATTGAATCTTCGTTTGCATTCATCATAGAAGCCATAGACACGGTTTATGGAAGCACATTCATGGTTTCCCCTAAGAATGAAAAAGTTCTCAGGGTACTTTATCTTGTAGGCCAAAAGAAGACATATTGTCTCAAGGCTTTGCTTTCCACGATCCACGTAGTCCCCTAAGAATAAGTAGTTGGAGCGAGGAGGGAATCCACCATGCTCAAAAAGTCTCAGAAGGTCAGAATATTGACCATGAATGTCTCCTGATATCATAGTGAAATTGAACAAGTTATTACTTACTAGTTTCTACCTTGTATTCATGAAGAAAATTTTGTTTAGACTGAAGAAACTCGTGTATGATTGTTGTTATTATCCTAAGAATAATTACTATTTGAAGCTGGATTCTACAACTATAGGAATTCAAGTAATCATAGCTATTATTTATTATGGAAAACAATCGAAACAGAGATATTAAATCTGGCATTTCATAGCACTGCCCTTGGAGCAATCTCGATGCACTTAACATCAATAGGTGATTAACAAATTGAATGAACATGAATGCTTTTCCATAGTTTTCTTTAAGAATTGCACTGGTTTCTGTAACATAACTAATAGCAACAGAGATATCTGAAAATATTGAACATATATGTTAAGGAAGACAATAAAATTAATGTATACAATAGTTTGTTTCCAGCTATAGCTGCACAAAAACATTTTGTTCAAATTGTCTTTGACTAAAATACCCCTAAGCTTAAATATTTTGAAACTCTTGGTATCTCCGATGATACAAATGGATACATTGTATATAGTAGTGAAATATGCCAACAAACAGAGCTTTTCAATCAAAGTGGATACTTAAATTGTAAAGAGGCAAATTTCTTGTCTGATTTTATCTACAAAAGTAAAAATCTGCAATACATTTGCCAAGAACGTAGAAGAGGCAATTGCATTCCCTAAATGGATATCATTTCTTAGTATACTTCACTTTGGATCATGTCACTATCACATGTTCACCTCTTCATGACATTTCTTCTGTAATTTTACTTGATTAAGGTCACGGTGAAGACAGTTAAATTTCTATTTTGCTGAGCACTTGGTTTTGAGATTTGAGAAAATACCAAGTGAACCGATAATAATTTTGCGAAGCAATCAAGAAAGCTAAAGTGATGATACCAAACTTGTACAACAATCAAGAATAAGAAGTGGCAACTCAACATTCCAAAAGTAATTAATTATAACATATTCTAAGAATATAACAATGATCCTCAATTTTGAGGTTATCTTAGAAACTAAATTTTCTAATTTTTTTGCTTTCCTTGAGTATCTTGCTGCTCAACAAGAGATTAATTGTTGCACACATATATATATATATATATATATATATATGATATTTCAAAAGAAAATAGTCTCACATTGTTTGGTCCACCTAAATGTAGAACCTTTATATATTAAAGTGCTCCTTATACTTTTAAAGAGGCAAGCAATGAGTGGTGGGCTTGCACAGGTGAAAATGGGCCTCATGAGCCCATTGTAGTTCAAATCTTTTGATTTGCCCCCCTGCGTGTGTCGGAAATATTTTTATTTTTGATTACATTAAATTTTTCTTAAAATTAATTAAAGAAACCTTAATCCGATTAGTTTTCTTTATATTAAAGTTTTCTTTATTCAAGCTGCGTCTGCTGTTTAAACTACAACACTAAGTGGGTAAGGACCTTTGTCAACCAATTTTTTTTTTTTTCCTCTTGCTACATGCATCTATAGTTTATTAGATCATAGACTAATCTTACTCTCTTTTATTGTGACTGTCGCCAATATGAAAGATTTTCACACACAACACAATGGTGGGATTTCATGTTATAAACCATACTTTCTTTTTATACATGTAAATCTCAAGATAAAATCTTGGACCACATGTTTAAAGAGACCTAAGTACCTTTCATTCTTCCGACCAAAACTTGTGGGTCTAAACTTTTATAAAATTACTTAAAAGTCATACATGATTTGTATTTCATTGATAATATAACACATTTAAATATCATGACATAATGGTTGAACACATGACATAATGGTTAGTTTTAATAAAGCCAGTCTCCTATTATTATTTTATATGAAACTAACCAATTGACTTCAATTACTGCTCAAAAATCACATATAAACTCATTGCAGTGTACTTAAATTAGATAATAATAAGTGACTAAGAAACATAAAAGTAAGAAAAACGGGGTTGGGAAATAGATACCACATATCTTAATTGGTGCCTCTAGTTCCAACAAATTGGGCTGCTTCAAAAAGACATCTCTGGAGACCAAACAAAGCTGCCTGATTTCTGCCTCTAAAAGCTGCACCTCTTTCCCAGGTCTCCCTCTCACCTGAAGCAGCCTATTGATGATTCCATCAAGAACCCGACGTTCCATTACTCTCAAAGCAAGAAAGAGAAGAAAATAAAATGCTTGATCAATGGAATAAAGACCAGGAAATTTATGTTGTCGAGTCTTATATAAGTAACATCATTTTGAAAAGAAGGACATAACTTCATCTCAAACAAGGGAATCAATGCTTTGGATTTCAATACATAATCTTTTGAAGGTCACTTTTGTAGAGGTTCTCGGAAACGAGTGGTGCCAGTTGAATTCGTAAGGACAAGAATATATTCGGTCGGAGACTTTAAAAAAAACTATAACACAATAAAGACTCGTTGTGGAGGTAAGGAAAGAATGAAGAATAATTTGAGGGAAGCGAATGCGGAGTGTGTTGTTTAGTGTTTTTATCATAGATCGGAGTATTCTTTAACTTCTTTAAAGATTAATTTCTTTTGAGACTTTGATTGTATTAAGACTATTTCTCATATGATTTTTTTTTTATCAAACCTAAATTTTGATACATGAGAAGCAACTACATCACCAATTAAACTAATCATTGTGAAGATTTAGTGGTTTTATATGCGCAGTGCCAAAACTCAAAAAACTCAGAATATTGTTCTGTGGGGTCAAACAAATCTCTCAAAACAGTTTAAATTTAGTGTAGTGACGAATGTTATTATGTTATGGGACGCGTCAAAGAATTTTGTTTCCTCGTGTGTGGTTGATATTAATTGATATGTATTTTATTTTAGGGTGATAACTTTTATACTCCCAAATAAAAGGAAAATCTAATTAACATTCATGATTTAATTATGTCTATTTTCTCTCTTCTTGTTATGTACGTCATCGATCATATTAATTATTTAATCACTAGATTGGTTTAGTTGTAAAGATTTGTATTGTGTATACAAAATCTTAATTAGATTTAAATTTTATTGTGGTTATTATAATTTTTATTCAACTACGTATCTCTTGTCTCATCATATTTCTCTTATGGATAGGAATGACAACACAGATTGACTTTCTTGAGACTGGGCAGCATGTCTAACCTGTCTTACCAGCCCAACAAACTCCCTTTAGAACAATTTTCTCATATAAATGTGTAATGCATTTGAAACGTGAGTACCTAAAGCATGATATATAGCCAACCATTATCACGAAAATATTTGTTACATTCCCTAAAAATTAATATAACATTATGAAGAAAACCCTTAATATAATATATTTTAACTTTTAAGTTATAAAATTTAGTTTCTTTTTTAAATAATGAGATTAGAAATTTTTCTTTTAACTCAAAGAACAATAGATTATTAATATACTATAATCATTTTGTGTCTAATTTTTTTTTATTTAACTTCTTTTTATAAAACAGGTTGATGGACAATGTGGATGAGATTGAGTTGAGATGGGTCACGGGGTCCAGGTAATTTTTAACTTCATGGCACTTTCTTTTGCTAATATATGTTGTGTAGCCATTAATGTATAGTACGTGAGAACATTTTTAGTTTACTTACCGTAGAGGAGGATTTGTTAAGAGTAGACACTACTAAATTAGGCCCCTTCAAGCCTTAACACTAGCTATTATTTACCCATTAAGCTTACAAATTGACTTAGTGCTTTGAGGAGAAAACTTCCGAAAAACAATAAGAAGATTGATAATTCAAGCATTGCCAATAAAGGTATGTGCTTTATCGCCATTAGTTATGCACGCGTGCATGTGGTATTTTAACTTCAATGTAATATACCTCCATATGTTTTAAGCTCAACATATTTGATTTAAAAATATTTTTTTGAACACAAATTTGGAACAATGAAAGATAATCCCTGTAACTTTGAAATTTATTTTCAAATGTATGTGAAAAAGATAAATAAATGGGAGATAGAATCTATTTTAATACAAGTTATAAATGTATTTGATCGAACTTTTTTTACAAAAATAAAGAATATTTTTAATAAATAAATTCTCAAAAATATTTTTAAACTTGTATTCAAACGTACTCATAAAATAATTGTATGTGACATATTATGATGCATTTTTTTTTTGAAACTTTAAGTACATGAATAAATTTAAAAACATATGTTATTATTCAAATTGATATGAAAAAAAAAACCCTATTTTATACCAATTCTAATTTGAATGATGTAAAAAGAGCATTTTATATAAGTTACTTTATAACTTACGCTACATCGTCACACACAGTATCACCATATCACAGAAAGATGATATAAAATGGTATTTTTGAACTAATGAATATGCATGTGCTTTCGTAATTAGATTAATATAACATTTTTTTTAAAGTGTACTTAATTATTCTATGATTAGAGTTAATACAATGCACGTTAAAATAACATCTTTGTGGAGGGCCTTAGTTATACATTATTAACATCCATATCTTTCGCTTCATACCATGATGCCCAACGTTTTGAACACTCGTACAACTTGTCATACTCTTTCAATCATATATATTATGCAATAAGTGCATCCATGCATTTTCTTTTACATTAATGGAGATCTCATATTAGCTAATGATATGATTTCAAATAGCGTATATAAGTGGAAAACAATTTTTACTTTACAAGTTAGTTTAGTAAAATTGAGTTAGTTCTAATCCACTTTCTCAAGATTGTATCAAAGCATATAAGAGTCTATCCTAACGAGTGTTGTATGTTAGATTTATTAGACTACCTATTATCGAGCCATTATCATACCACTTATAGATGTTCAGTTCTACAAATTTCACGCTCAAGATCTTTTATCTTCAACATGAGGAGGATGTGTTGAAAATCTCACATCAACTAGTGAAATGACCAAATTAATGTATATAAATTAGGAACAATCTTCATCTTATAAGTTGATTTTATAAGGTTAAATTATACTTCAATCCACTTTTTTTTAAGATACATTATACTTATTAAACATAAAACTTTCCTTTTTCCATGGTTTTGATCTAGCTATGTGTTATCTTTAAGAATTAGCATTTTTCTCAACAACTCAAGCAATTTATCTCAGCTTATCATAGCTTTATTAGTCATCATAACTTTTCTTTCATAGCCTTAATTACAATTTGGCTTTTTACCCAACTAAGGTCATTATTGAAACATATTATAGAAATGAGGTTGTTTTCAAACTATCCCCACTTTAGGCAGTCAACTACGAGTATTGCTGGTTAGCTATACTTGTTTTTTTTAATTTTTTTGAACAAAAATGGTTTATAGATAGACACGTGGTGCAAACAGATAATAAGGTATCCGTTTTTGTGGGTACCTAAACTCTACAAATATTAAAAATACTTTTAATTATATAATATATAAGTAATTTGGTTTAATTTATTTTTAAGCTAAATATATGTCTCATATTAATTATTTATTTTTAGTATAAATATATGTTACAAACTTATTTTTTAATATAAATATATTTATAATTGTTATTTTTAATTTTATTTTATTTCTTACTCTTTTATTTAAGGATCACAAAAAAATTTGTACTTGTAAAAATTCAAAGATAAAACTCGTTATGAATTTTATATGAATGATTAAATGGATATCAACTTAATAATGGAGTGAGGTACCGGTAACGGTGAGTCATAGTACTTTAAAAATATTAAAAATACTAAAATAATTTGATTTAATATATTTTTTAAAGTTAAATATATGTCTCATAATTATTTATTTTTAGTAAAAATATGTGTTACAAAATTATTTTTAATATAAAAATACGTTTCAAAATTATTTTTTTAATTTAATTTTATTTCTTACTTTTTTATTCAATTTTACATTTTATCAAATATCCATGTATATTAGTAGATATATATAAAAACTTATAAATACTTCTTAAATGTATAATCACACTAAACAAGGTGAGTACGTAACAAAAGACTTTTACACGTCACACCTTGCCTTATTGATATCCAAACACATAAATACTTGTGAATATATAAAAAAAAAATTCATAAATACCTACTAAATAATAAATAAGGTGGGTGACGGGGCTACTATAGCTACCTTCGTCCCACTTTATTGACATCTCTAATAATAATTAAAATCTCTAATAATAATTAAAAGTAAAACTATAAAAGTTTAAATTTAAAATGAACAATATTTTATAATTATAGAAATATGTGTACAAATAATAAGATACAATGCTACTCTAAAATAAAACACATGCATAACCTAAAAATAAACACCGCAACATAACCCTAACGACTTGAGTCAGTCGGCGAAGTTTACTCTTGCCAGGAAAAATGGCATTGTGTTAAAGAACTCTTTAACAGTCAAAATTGGATGCTTTACTCAATAAACAGTAGAACATTTAAACCGTCGAACAAAAGTTATGAAGTTTATAAATTTAATGTGTGAAATTGTAGGACTAAAAGTTAATTAAGAATCAAAAACCACGGATCAAATATTATAAGAAGTCAACAGTGTCATTTAACATGTATGATATGAAAAAATATCAGGAAACTGGCTATAGAAAGTTTTACAAACATAATTGACCGCCGATATTTTTCAAAACAACTATATATGTATACATAACAAGATGAAAAATGATATATCTTCCGAAACTCATACTCTGAAATATTTTACAAAATTTACCTTATCTTAAGTTAACACGAGTTAAATTTTTATGGTTTAGAATTTTCGACTACTGTTTTCGGAGGAAGTACGTAGCATCTCTTTAAAGATAACTTGTACCCTTAAGCTCTGCAACTGCCCCTATTATAAATTATAAATTACAAAATAAAACTTTGTACAAGCTCACTCTTATCGAAGTCGTTTTGAAGAAATTTCAAAAGAGGTTGCGAACTTGGTCAAAGTTCACATTACTCTAGAAGGTAAGTCAATTACTCTTCACTACCAGACAATCTCTTTGTACCAGAGTTTCAAAATACCATCATCAGACGATACGAGTTTTTTAATTTATTAATTAGTATACCAGCCATAGGCAGCGTTTGCTTATGTGTTTATCATAATTAATAGTTACCTTTTTACAAGAAAGAGAATATATAAGGCCGAAGTATGTAATTAAGCTTATATTTGGTTTATCTTAGAGTGAAAGGATGGACTTTAAAAGATAGAGTATGATTATAAGGTATAACTAATGATTAAAATAATCAAAACACACACACAACTACG